TTATTATTTTGGTAAACAGTCTCCCAAACGGTACGGTGAAAAAATTTAAAAACTCTCACCTCCCTCCCCCCACTTTTTCCCAAAATTAAAAAGAAGTACGTTAATGTTGCATGTTATTTCAAGTGTTGTTCTTGTGCAACTGAATCAGACCGCCTGCTGGAAGGAGCAATTTTTTTGTTGTTGCTGCTCAGTTAAAAAATAAAAGGAAAAAAAAAAAGAAAGAGAGAAAGAAAGACTTGTTTCCTGATATTTCCTCTTTTTGGATCTCGCAGTGCTCGGCTCCAAGAAAACGCTGGCATTTTCCCCACGGGGAGAGCAAAGCCCCGCGGGGCCGTGTGGGGCGAGCGCCCGCCTGCACCCCATGGACCCTTCTCTCTCCGTCCATCCGTCCGTCCATCCCCCCAGAGCCATCGGCCCCACTGCAGGCGCTGGGCGCAGGAGACGCCATGGCCTGCCGCCGTCCCCTCCTGCAGACCGCTCAGTGGTTATTGCGATGAAACTGAAAACTATGAACGATACTAATTTCTCAAGCATTCCTATGGCACTTGCATTGTTCTGCATAAGTTGAGCGGGTTGTAGGGGAAGAGATTAGAGGAGGAAAAAAAATACCCTCGGAAAAGTCAATGGAAGGACCAAGAGTCATATTTCCGACTCCCTCCTGTACGACCGCTGATCCAACGCTATTGTGGCTTGAAGCCTATCGAACTCGTGCCTGTTGTCGGGGCTCAGGTCCTCCAAACCCCGGCTGTCATCATCTTCCTCTTCCTCATCGCGGCTCATGAAGGCCAGCTCGTTCTCGTAACAGAAGGAGTTGGTGCTGGGCAGCAGAAATTTGTTCTCCACCAAGTCCTTGGCGCTGCAACGGGGAGTGGACGGGACCTCGTAGGTTTTGTGGAAGTGGGAATAGTCTACTTTGTACTGGTTTTTCTCCTCGAACAAGACAGGCTCGAAGCGGTGGCCCCAGAGGATCTCGCTGGCCAGGTAGGAGCTCCGAGCTTGTGTTGTCATAGCAGTGGCTTCTACCATGCCTTCCAGAATGACCACGATCTCAAAGTCATCTGTCTCCAAGTCCTGGCGACTGATCCCAAACAAGGGGCTGTCTTCATTGATCTCGTGGAGAATGGTGATGGGAGACACCAAGAAGATACGGTCCAAGCCTTTATCAAACCCCACGTCGATATCTATTTGGTCAAGTGGTATGTACTCCCCTTCTTCTGTGATCCTGGGCTTAATTAGCTGAGCTCGTACATGGGCTTCTACTATGTGGCTTTTCCGGAGGTTCCCAACTCTCCACATCAGGCAGAGTTTTCCATCTCTCATTGCCACTACTGCATTATGGCTGAAAAGTAATGTCTGCGCCCGTTTTTTGGGCCTGGCCATCTTTGCCATTATTGCACCAATCATGAAAGAGTCAATTATACACCCCACGATGGACTGAACCACCACCATGAAGACCGCGAGCGGGCACTCCTCCGTCACACAGCGGAAACCATAACCAATAGTTGTTTGGGTCTCGATGGAGAACAGAAAAGCAGCCACAAAGCCATTGACCTGCAGAACACAAGGCTTAAAGGTATCATCTCCACCCGGGTTTTCTAGATCTCCATGAATGAGTGCAATTAGCCAGAAAATCAGCCCAAACAATAACCAGGACACCAGAAATGCCAGGGAAAAGAGCAAGAGCATATACCTCCAGCGGATGTCAACACACGTGGTGAACATGTCTGCAATGTACCTCTGCGGCTTGTCATCCATGTTGGTGAACTCCACGTTGCACTGACCGTTCTTCTTTACAAACCTGTTCCTGCATTTTCTCCTGGTATGGATTTTCCCATTGCCAAAGCCGTTGATACCTGGCATGGTGGTCAACCTCAGCCCGTCTTCCTCGGAGGACACGATGCTGTAAGGGTTGACTCTGCCTGCAGTCATCCCTGAGCCAAGCCCACAGTGAAGGTGAAGGGTCTTGCGACTCCCAGCGTCCCCCTGGCCCACCCCTGCCCACCCCCCAAATTCTGTTGTGGTGGAAGAGAAGTCCCAAGCTTCCACGTCTTGGCTGCCACGTCACCACACGGATCCTGTGAGAGGCTCTGCAATGAGAAAACAAAGACACAGCCGTTACCTCTCATGGCAAAAGGATTCAGGGAGGTACTTGGCCATGGGTCTGATGGGGTGGGTGGCTGCATGTTGAGTGAGACCCCCCCCCAACTGCCCTTACTCTCCCTCCTAGGCTGTTCCCAAAAACCACACGTGAGGAAGGAAGAAGGTCTTAGAGTTTGTTCTTTCGTACTACAGAGTGAGCAAACCTTGCTGGGGCGATGAAGCATTTGTGGGACCTTCAATGACACCAGTGGATGAAAAACCTTGGGTAGCACTGGAGTCTCTCCCCTTTGCTTTTCTCATGAGTTCTGCTGTTGGAGCGGGGTCAGGCTGCTGGAGAGGAAAGCGGAGAGGCCAAGCTGCTCTCCTTAGCACAGAGATATTAATAAAGGTACGCCTGAAAGCGGCTCCATCAGTTCACATTGCCCGTGCCAGATGGATCGCTGCCCAGCACATCGCAGCAGCGCTCGCCTGACCTCCCGAGCACCAGCTCTTCTGGGGTTGAGGGAAACCACAGGGAGATGTGGATTTAACCTCCGTCCCCCAGCCTGGGGATGGGAGAGGACATGGCCAACATGCAGCCAGATGAGGAAGGCCCCAGGAAGGCACTCGCTGAGGGCAGATGTTCCGAGGAGCAACTTTCCCAACGCATCCATTGGGACACCGAGCCATCTACGGTCACAGATGGGTTTTGCTGGCCAAGTCTTATGAAGCAACAACTGCCACTGGGGAATGGGGAGCTGTTTTGATCTCTCCTGGAGGGCTCAGCTGCAGGGTCAGGGACCTACATGCAGCTTTGCCTGGGAGAGAGGCGGCATGGACATGGGAGAGGTGGCCCAAGCTGGGTGGGCTCCCTGGTGCAGGTGAGACCCATGGTGACGGAACCCAGCAGCACCCTGCCAGGCTGCTGGCCCCCCCAGCCCATCTGCGATGGCACGTGGGGCTGCATCAGGTGAGGGTCGGGATTGTAGAGAAGCCACGTGGCACGTCCCAAGCACCCGAAAGAGATGGCACTGCGGGAACGCTCCCCAAACCACCCTCTGCCTCAGCTCATCCTATTCTTTAGCGACATGGGATGTGTCACTGGGGATCAAACCACCTTGCTGGCAATGAGACCTGCATGGGGCCGCAGTGTGGTGGGGGAGCACGTGCAGACCCCCGCACAACACACCGTCCCCTCAGCGCAGAGGTGCCTGGCTCATGCCTCGAAGTGCAGGCGAACCCACCAGGCTGTACGTGCTGTGTCGGATCTGCTGGCCCGATCAATACGGTCGATTCCTGCAATCAGCTCTAGCGCCCAGGGACACACTGGGACGAGCACACCCTTTCCATTACACGGTGGCCAGGGCCAGCCCAGTGCCGGGAAGCATTGCCAGGCACAGCCTGCCTGGGGCTGCATCAGCCCAGCTAGCAGCGATACGGTGGATTGCCTTGTGCAGAAATTTGCCACAAATCTAGCCTGGGACTTGGGGATCTCCGCAGAGTCCCAGCACCACAAGCAGGAGCACTAACAACCTGCCCAAACCTCCCAGGTGCTGGAAACAGACCCAGGTGTGACACCATCTTATACACCAAATAGCATATTTCCACCTGCTGCAAACCAGGCACAACCACTTTTTATCCAAAAAGCTAATTTTTCAAGCACCACAGTTATTTGTTGGTGTGTTGGCAGACCAAGCAATTGCTCGCATCCAGCTGGGGCAGTTGGCACAAGATCCTGTCCCTCCTTAAAGCCATGGGGAAGAGTAAAGTAGGCGCAAACCGTTAATATTTACAGCCCCATACTCACTGGAAATCAAAGGGGACCAAAGTGGCCTTGCAGAGCTGACGTGTCAGACCGGCTGCAGGCTCACGCTGCCAAACTCCAGCCTGGTCACCCGTCCCGAGTCTTCCTCCTGACCACACTGGCTACATTCATTAAGGCTTTCTCTCCTCTTTTTTTCATGTGAGCTCAGCATTTGGAGACAAAAAAGGCTGCTTCTCCATCACCCCACCGGCGCACCCAGGGGAATACGCCGAATGCTTTTGCCACAGGATGAATTTACTGTTGGGTTTTTTTAATTAATTCTAGATGCATTTGAGAAGTGAACAAAATGCAATGAGCTCCCAGTGACCTGCGAGAGGATTAGCAGGGGTCTGGATTAACTGTGCTGGGAGGGGAGATGTACCCGGGTGACCGGGGAGGCAGCGGCGCTGCCCCCACCCAGGGGTGATGCTCCCGGGAACCCTCGGGCTCCCCAGTCACCACCACCTTCCCCCTCCCCCCTTCCCTCCTTCCCTCCTTTCTCACTTTCTCTGTTTCTGCCTTTCTCTCTTCCTTCCTTCCTGCTCTTCATTTTTCTCTTTCTTTTCTTTCTTTCTTTCTTGCTTGCTTGCTTCCTTGCTTTCTTGCTTTCTTTCCTTCTCAATTTCTCAATTTCTTAATGTCTTAATTTCTTTGTCTTTCTCTTTCTTTCTTTCTTTCTCTCTCTCTCTCTTTCTCCCTCTCTTTCTCTCTTTCTCCCTCTCTCCTTTAT